AGGGCACCGACTCGTCAAAAGTGACGTCCTGAGAGGGCAGGATACGGCGTGAGGTGGCGTGGTAAAACTGCCAACCAGACGCGTCCGGGACAAAGCCAAGGAAGACACAGGGAACAGCGCGGGAGGAGAGCTTGTCCGCGGACGTATCGCGGATAAAAGCTCGAGATCCCCAGACCCGGAAACGCGACGCATCGCCAACCTCCCCCGTCCACAGCAGTGTGGGCGAGGTCACCGGTAAGGAGACACGGGGCCAGAGGTTGAGCTGATGCGCAACGTACTGGACCGCAAACGGCCACAGAAAGTGGGGGGCAGCCGCATGGATCAAGGAGGTACGAGCGACCTCCATGACCAAGCCAATGCGGCGCTCAGCAACCCCATTCTGCTGTGGAGAGGCCGGAAGCGTGAACGATTGGCGGATGCCGTGCTCCGCACAGTAGGCTGCCAAGAGGTCGGAGGAGAACTCACCACCTCTGTCAGAGTGCAGACGCAAGACAGGAAAGTCTGAGTGGAACCGCTCGCTGAGCTGGAGACGAGAAGCGCGGATCCAAGGGATCAAAACATCAGGGACCTCACCCTTGGTGCGCAAGGGGAAGACCGTGGTGTAGCGCGAGTAGTCGTCAACAACGATCAGGAAGTACCTCTCCTGACCCTGTCCACGGACGCGGGCTGGGCCCCACACGTTCATGTGGAGCGTCTGCAAGGGAGAAGTCGTCGGGGGAAACGAGGAGGAGTGAGGAGTGGCGCGCTGCCGCCCCTCGACACAAGGAAGACAGGGAGGAGCAGGTGAGGGTGGGAGGGGAGGGAGTACCCGGGGAAGACCAGAGACAAGGTACCGTTTGTGCATGGCACGAAGGCGCTGCACTGACGGGTGACCAAGGCGGTGGTGCCAGAGGACGGTCTCGTGTGCTAGAGAGCGACACGAGCAGGGGGCAGACAGCTGACCTGAAGCAGACGCAGACGCAGCTACCTGAGGGGACTCAGTGGTCAGTGTGTACAGGTCCGACCCTGGCTTCCGAGTGAAGGTAGCCAGGTGACGGCCCGTCCGAGCACACGTGCAGTGTGTCACGCGCTCGTAGGCAGGGGTGAACTGGTGGACACCCCCGTCCTGTTGCGCACAACCCGCCACCAAGTTCGTAGAGAACGAGGGGAGGTGGAGACCTGACAGTGTGCCCGACGGAATCGCAGGACAAGGAAGGACAGTGGAGGAGGTCGCAATGACCGGACCCCCAGAGGGGTCAGCAAGGGAGACAGCAACTGGCCGAGCAAGCTGCTCAAGGGCAGTGTGGTCACGAAAGAAACAGCGAGAAGCACCTGAGTCCAGTGTGAAGGTGTGCAGTGCCTCAGTAGACTCAGTACCAGGGGGGGCAGACTCACGAGTACCTAGAGCAGCAGCCTCACCAGCACCTGGGGCAACAGACACTCTTGTACCTAGAGCGGCAGCCTCACCAGTACCTAGAGCAGTAGACTGGATACCGGGGTCAGGCGGCACACACAGGTGACAGGCACTCTCAGCACTAGTAGACAATGCATACATGGCAGTGAGGATAGCATCATAGTCAAGAGCAAAGATATCTACCCTCTGCCTAAGCAGCTCCACCCAGTCGGGGAGCTCAGCGTCGTCGCCAAGCTCTGTACGCCAAACGTCGCCCAGACGGGCGAAGCAGTGGGACTCTGTGTGACCACGTGTCCCGCAAGGCTGACCAGTCCGGACACCTGTGCGAATGACGTACGGGCAGCGAGCAGTACTCAGTGACCCTCTACTCTGAGCGTACCACTCACGAAGCTGCTGGGGCGAAAGAGCCTCGCGTAGACGACGCGGCTGCTGCACCGGGCCACTACAAGAAACTCATGAACTACCCACTCCAGGACGACTCCCACTACTGCCACCCCGACAACCCCAACTGGCGTACCACTCACGAAGCTGCTGGGGCGTGAGGGACACACGCGGACGGCCCTGGAGCTGCATCTGGCCACGCCAGGAGCAGCAGTAGAAGCAGTAGCAGCAGCAGTAACAGCAGTAGTAGTACGGGCAGGGGAGTGCTCACCAGTGGTGGGAAGGGCAGGCGTACGAGCGGGGCGACTGCGGGGCCGCCACAGCGGCCGCTCCAGGGGCGGCGGCTCCAGGGGCGGCTGTTCCAGGGGCCAGGAGCGGCTCCTGCAGTGGCAGCTGCTCCAGGGGCGGCTGCTCCAGTGGCCAGGGGCGGCTGCTGCAGGGGCGGCTGCTCCAGGGGCGAGGGGCGGCTCCTGCAGTGGCGGCTGCTCCAGTGGCCGGCTGCTCCAGTGGCCAGGGGCGGCTGCTGCAGGGGCGGCTGCTCCAAAGGCCAGGCGCGGGTTAGGTCAGGGCGACTCAGCGGGCAGGGGCGACGCGCGGGCAGGGGCGACGCGGCGGGCAGGGCGACGCGGCGGGCAGGGCGACGCGGCGGGCAGGGCGACGCGGTGGGCAGGGGCGACGCCGTGGGCAGGGCGACGCGGCGGGCAGGTGGCGACGCCGCGGGCAGGCGACGACGCCGCGGGCAGGGCGACGCGGCGGGCAGGTGACGACGTCGCGGGCAGGGCGACGCGGCGAGCAGGTGACGACGCCGCGGGCAGGGCAACGTGGCGGGCAGGTGGCGACGCCGCGGGCAGGGCTACGCGGCGAGCAGGTGACGACGCCGCGGGCAGGGCGACGCGGCGGGCAGGTGGCGACGCCGCGGGCAGGTGGCGACGCCGCGGACAGGTGGCGACGCCGCGGACAGGTGGCGACGCCGCGGGCAGGCGGCGACGCCGCGGGCAGGGTGACGTGGCGGGCGGCAAGAGCCTGTAGGGGCGGCGCGCGGTCGGGCAGAGGGTGCGCGCGGGCCTGACGGGTCTGCAGGGGCGGCTCTCGGGCCTGACGGGCCTGCAGAGGCGGCTCGGGGGGGGCCTGACGGGTCTGCAGAGGTGGCTCGGGGGCCTGACGGACCTGCAGGGGCGGCTCGAGGGCCGTACTAGCTTGCATGAGGCCGCGCGAGGGCTACAGGACGGCACTCGGGCAGACCGAAGGGCGGGGCGCGCGAGGGCGCACGAGCAGAGAAAGGCGCACGAGGGCGCACGAGGGCGCACGAGGGCGCACGAGCAGAGAAAGGCGCACGAGGGCGCACGTAAGGTAGGGCGCACGAGGGCGCTTCTAGCGGAATAGTGGGCCCGTAGTAGAAAGCGGTCCTAGGTAGCAACCTAGGCTCGTGATACCATGTTAGAATCTAGAATAGAACGAGAATGATGAAACTAGGAATGATGGGGATACAAGTAGGAAACCCTAGTAAAGTTGTACCCCCCAAAGGCTAAACCCACTATAGCCTACACAATATAAACATATAATGTTTGACACGGAGGCGTGCGAACTTTCGCCCAGGAGATTTTGGCGAAGTTCTACCTTCGGAACGGCATCACGTGGTCGACGGTGCGCACCTGGCAAAACCGACGACACGTTTTCTACCTGGCACCTGTGCAATGTGCCTGACGGTGAAACCGTCAGCCTGCACCTACTTGGTAGGTGCGCACATCTGCGCAGATAGACAACCTGCGACTGCAGATAGTTACTTGCGACTGCAGATAGTCACCTGCGACTGTAGTGCTGGCGGAACGTGCGCAGTGCAACGTTGGCAGACCACTCTGCTGCAACGTTGGCAAGCCGCTCTTCTGCTGCGTTGGCAGATTTCGCCCTTGCTAGGAGTTCCATGCCATTCTAGTCCTTTTTGTTATGCATCCCTCAATTGTACTTTCAACTTTTTCAAATGCAAATTGTTGTTTCACTTCCTTAGTGGAAACTCTTGTCAAACTTCTCTCTGAACACAGCAAGCAGTAAGAACGCTACTAGAGCGCTACGATCACTCGCACAACCCCGTGCCCTTCTCCGTAGTCCACTCCCGTTGTGTAGTGACTCTCCGCAGAATCATCGCGGCTGTTTCGACTTAGGTTTTTTTTCAACGGTCAGCCGGCAATCTAGTGTCACTGGGCTTTAACGCTCAGTAACATGAAGGGTTAAAGCAAGGGTGCACTTTCGGGGGGGTGGAGGCAAAGGTTTATCACTTGCCTCCACTTGGTTACCCTGTTTGTGTTGGGAGTCCGAGCGAACCACACTCCAGTGTTGGCGGACTTGCGCGGGTTGTCTCTCCCCCATCGTCAATTGCGACTTCCCAACTCGTAGTTGGGAACTTGAGTCACAACCAGGCAGTTAGTGAACCATGACGCACTCGACTCTCGTACCACCACGACACACATATTGCAAGCAGGTAATAGCGTAACAACCACAAGTCTAGCACACTACCGTCATCAGAGCATTATTGTAGGCAATCGATAGACTAGATGAGGAGAGTAGCAGAGTTTCGCCGTCGTTATGCGCGAATTAGGGTTACGGCCGTCGTCATAGCGAGTCACTGATCCGCTAATATCCATAGCAAGGGTCGCTGATACCCTAACATCCATACCGATCGTGGCTTATTTGCTAATATCCATAGCGAACTGTGCGGAAAAGCGACTTGCCGTTATTCGCCGGTGTCGCAGCCCACTCGGCGACGGTCGCCGCAGAACTAGCGTTGCTCGTTCCTCATTGCAACCAGCGCGTCGATTTCTGCTTGCTCACTGCATCCGCTCCCGCATTCCCCCTCCCGCCGACCTCGCTTTCCCCCTCCCGTCGCCCTCGCTTTCCCCCTCCCGCCGACCTCGATCTCCCCCTCCCGCCGACCTCGCTTTCCCCCTCCCGTCGGCCTCGCTTTCCCCCTCCCCCGTCGCCCTCGCTTCCCCTCCCCATCGCTCGCCCCGACGACCTCTTCTCTCCCACCTGTCGCTGCGTCGACGTCGTTCTCATTCCTGCTGCTGACTCTTTGCACTCGCTTCCTTCCCGCGTCGCCCATGCCCATTCCCCTCCCTCGCGCCGGCGCCCTGGTTTCCCGCTCCGCCGCCTTCTCTACCCTTCCCAGTGCCCGTGTTTACCACCTCCTCCATCTCCCCACCCTAAGCTTCACTCTCACCCACGTCCTCCCATGCGAAACCAAGTCCTCCGCTTTCCTCTTCCTTCCTCCCATCCCACCAGCCTCCCAGCCTTATCAAGTCCTTTTTTACATCCCATTCCTCCTTTCACCTTCCCATTCGTTCATTTCACCTTCAAACCCCTATTGTCCCTTCAATCGCTGCGAGCGATCCTTTTTGCGGATGCCTCTTTCCCCCTTCTCACTCTCTCCCCTCCTCCTCACTCTGTTTCCCCCTGCTCACTCTCTTTCCTCTTGCTCACTCTCTTGCTCACTATGTTCCTCCCTGCTCACTCTCTTCCCCTGTCCTCACTCTGTTTACCCCTTGCTCATTCTCTTCCCCCCTGCTCATTCTCTTCCCCCCTGCTCATTCTCTTCCCCCCTGCTCATTCTCTTCCCCCCTGCTCATTCTCTTCCTCCCTGCTCACTCTCTTTCCCCCTGCTCACTCTCTTTCCCCTTCCTCACCCTCTTTCCTCACCCTCTTTCCCCCTGCTCACTCTCCTTCCCCCTGCTCACTCTCTTTCCCCCTGCTCACTCTCCTTCCCTCTGCTCACTCTCTTCCCCCTGCTTCCCCGCTTCCCCTCGCGCTGCTTCCCCGCTTCCCCTCGCACTGCTTCCCCACAGTCCCCTCGCGCTGCTTCCCCCATTCCGTATGCGCTGGTCCTTCACATTCCCTACTGACGGCTTTCCCCTTCCCCTACACCCTGGCTCCCCCTTTGCCATCTCTCTGTTCCACCCCTCCCATCCCTCCCATTGCCAAATAACCAATTTACCCAGCATCGTTTCCCCGCTGCCACTCTCTCTTTTCCCCCTGCTCAACCATCATTTCCCTTCTGCCACTCTCTCTTTTCCCCCTGCTCAACCATCGTTTCCCCGCTGCCACTCTCTCTTTTCCCCCTGCTCACCCATCGTTTCCCCGCTGCCACTCTTTCTTTTCCCCCTGCTTACCCATTGTTTCCCCCCCTCTCAATCTTTCTTTTTCCCCTGCTTACCCATCGTTTCCCCGCTGCCACTCTTTCTTTCCCCCCTGCTTACCCATTGTTTCCGCCCCTCTCACTCTTTCAGTTCCCCCTGCTTACCCTTTGTTTCTTTTCCTCCTGATCTTGCTCTCCCCTTCCTTTTCCCTATGCCACTCGTTATCCTACAATCTGTTTACGCTTCCCTGTCTGCTCCTTCGCACCTTCCCTCTCCCTTCAGTGGTGCAGGTCGTCGAGCATGAAGCAACCAAGGTGACAACTACCGTAGGTGAACTTTGGACCCTCTCCGTGTCGAGAATCGTCGAATATAAGTTTCCACAGTTATCCACAACAGAACATGCATTCAATCTGGGTTCAGGATATCCAATAATGATGGCGTTGGTGATGTTTGGTTCTGAGTGAAGCTTTTTTGCAACACTGCTATGTGTAGAGTACAGTTGCTTTATAAATATCTCAAATTACAAAACAGTGTGTCACCACTCCTCTTAGTGCCTCAGCTCCTCCATGTGCTCTTGTGCCTGCTGCCACACCCTCGCGCCACCAAACATGTGAAGGCTTGGTTTCGTCCTGGAGTTAGCATAACACTAAAGGAGGTAGCACACTCACATGGTGATGCAGGGAGGTGAGATAGTGAGGCATGGCGAAGAAAAAGGGAGGCAGGGAGGTGAAGAGACGCGAATGAAAGGGAAGGGTGTTGGGCTGGGCTGAGAAAAGCCCTTAGGATCTTTACAAGGCTAAACTCCAAGTAGAGGTGTTGTAGTTGCGGAAGCGTTTTAATGTTAACTGTTGAACCACCTTGCGCTAGTATGTGAGGGCAAGATCGATTGATTAAAGCAAGAAGATACAAGGTTTTATAAGAGTACAAGGAATAAGGATGCAGCTAATAACTGTTTTGCTGTTGCTGTTGCGGTTCGATACAGTGACGACTCGGGCAACTGCTCAGTATCGAGTCAGTTGTTTGTCCTTGCTGTCGCGCTGTATTTGTCAGGTCAAAGGTCAGCGACCTTTGACCTTCGTGTAACCTCCAGCACTTACATTTTCAGTCAACCTCCGATGGTTGACTCGCCGTTGCTTCGTTGTAGTTCGCTTCACTTGCAGTTCAGTGTTTCGACACATCAGAAGCGCTTTAAGTCACTTGTTTCCAACACTCCCCTTCGCTTCTGGAGTGTCGCTGCTGGTGACGTGGCCTTGTCCAGTCAGCAGCATGCAGTACTCGAACTTCTGCTTTCCGAGTTTCTTGGTCAGGTAATCAGCTGCCATCTCGGACGTGGGACAGTAGGACAGCTCGACTCTCCCCTTCTCGATCTCGTCTTTCACGAAGAAATATCGCAGGGCGATGTGCTTCATCCTGTTCGCGAATCCGTTTTTGTTGGCAATGCGAATTGCTGACTGGTTGTCGCAGAACAGGGAGAAGCTGGGTAACTGGGCAAGCTTCGCCTCTTCCAGTAGTTCGCGAAGGTATAATCCTTCCTTGGTGGCTGAGCAGAGTGCGATATATTCTGCTTCGGCTGAGGAGAGAGCGATTAGCTCTTGCTTGCTCGACTGCCACGAGATAGGTCCGATAGCTCGAGTCTGTAGATGTAGCCGGTGCGTGAGCGCCTGTTGTCAGAGTCGCCGGTGTGGTCAGCATCGACGTAGCCGATTAGTTTGGGCGTTGTGGTTCCAGTCTTGTGGTAGGTTAGACCGATCGTTGGAGTGCTGACGAGGTAGTGGAGTGCGCGGTCGAGCTCCGCCATGTGCTCTGCTTCGGGTTTCTTGAGGTAGGTGGCGAGTTGGCTTGCGGAGTACGAGAGGTCCGGTCGGCAAGTGACGGCTGCGAAGAGCAGACATCCTAGCTTTCGTTGGTAGTCGCGTATGCCGGCGGGCTTGAGTAGAGCGGAGGCTTCCTTGTGATTTCCGGTGGCGTAGCGATATGGCGTGGAGATAGTAGTTGGGGCGAGTCCGAAACGTTTGGCGATGGTGTCGGCGTATTTGGCAGCGCTGAGGTAGATTGCGTTCTCTTCTTCTTGGATGTTGAGCCCGAGGTATTGTGTTACGGTAGACGAGACCGTGAGCGTGAGGTCCTGCTGCAGCTCCCCTTCGAACCAGGTCGTGATGCCGTCAGTTGAACCGATGTAAAGCAGGTCGTCCACATAGACGATGAGAAGAATGTAGTCGGTGCCTTTTGTGAGCCGGTACATGCCCTGGTCGTGCGGTAGTTGGCGGAATCCAATGCGGATGAGTCGGGCGTGTAGGTACTGCTGCCATAGCCTCGGGGCCTGTTTGATGCCGTACAGGGACTTCAGCAGTTGACAGACTTGATTGGGGTCTGCGTTGGAGCCATGCGGTTGCTCGACGAAGATTTCAGCGTCGACGGGTGCGTAGAGAAAAGCGTTGGCTACATCGATTTGGCGTAGCTTCTTCTTCTTCATGGCGGCTATCGCGAGGAGAATCTGTAGAGAGGTGTGTCGGCTGACCGGCGCGAATGTTTCGGTGAAGTCCCGTCCGTGCTCTTGGTCGAAGCCGCGTACGACCCAGCGCGCCTTGAATTTGTCGATGGTGCCGTCTGCCTTGGTTTTCACACGGAAAACCCATTTCCCGGTGAGGATTGTCTTGTTGCGTGCCACGCCGATGGGAACGATTTTCCAGGTATTGCGTTCTTCCAGCGCTTATAATTCTTTGTCCATGGCTTCACGCCATTTTTCCCTGTGCTTCCCCCCCAGAGCCTGCTGAACCGTTGCAGGCTCCTTAGGTGGCTCTGCTCCGTGGACGGCGGTGACGAGTCCAAGTATCTGCAGTCCGCTTTGTGTGTAGCGAGGAAGAGTTGTGTCCTCGGGAAAGACTGCTTCGTCTCCCGCTTCTGGATCGGGTACGAAATCAGGTCCTACGCGTTCTGCTTCGTCGGTGTTGACTTGCGCAGGTGTAACGTAACCGTTGTCAGCGAAGTCGTTGAAGACTTCGGCGTTGATGCTTTCGCGAGGGTTGTTGTCGTCCATTGGGATGTCCACCGAGCAGTAGGGAAGAGGTCCGGCTTCCTCCGAGGCTCTGTCCACGTTCTGTTCATCCCAGTCAGCTTCATCTGCTGCCGAAGCAAAGGCTCGGTCCCCACGAAATCCGCCTGTGACATCTCGTGAGGTTTCCAAGTTGTAAAGGTACGTTGGAAGAGTGAGGCGTTCGTAGAAAATGACGTCACGTGCTGCCACTGTTTCCTTTGTGTTGATGTCAAAAATCTTCCATGCGTTGTAATGTTTTTCGATGCCCAGGTGTAGTCCCCATTGTGCGCATTGGGAGAATCGACCGGCGAGTGCAGCTGGGGGTCGGTACTGTACCATGCAGCCGAACACTCGTAACATTTTTGTGTTGCCCAATTTTCCTGTCCACAGTAGATGCGGTGATGCGTTGTTCGGGAGCGATGATGACGAAAGCAAGTTGTGCAGCATGAGAGCGTGGTCCATCGCCTTGGGCCACTGGTGGTTGGGTAGCCGCATGCCACGAAGCAACTTGCGCATGGTGTTCTGGAGGGTCCTATTCATTCTTTTTGCCACGCCTTGCTGTTGGTGAGTGTAGGGAAGGGAGAGGAGTCTCTTGATGCCTCTTTCTGCCAAGTACTGCGTGAACCGGTGTGATGTATATTCTCCTCCCCCGTCTGACTGGAAGCTTTTCAGCTTCACTCCTGATTCTCGTTCTGCTACTGGAAGCCAGGCGACGAAGGCTTCGAAAGCCATGTCGCGACTCGGGAGGTTAAGATGCCATACGTATCGTGTGGCGGCGTCGATGAATGTGATGACGTAGTTGCATGCTCCTTGACCCGGTTCACGGTTGTACAATATCTCGCTGTACACCTTCTCCAGAGGTGCGTACGCCGGTGCACTTGGGTTGTGATGAGAGACGAACGGCTGATGCGGTAAGTCGGCTTCAGGGCAGGTGAGGCATGTTCCTCAAACTAGTTGAAGTTCTCTGCCGTCGGGTAGGAGTAGCGAGTCTTTATCAAATACTCCTGCTCTTATCGTGTTATTTAACGTCGTGTTGCTCGGATGTCCCATTCTTGCGTGCCAGATGTCTTCGCCGGCGCGATGTCCGGGTGAGCGTCTGTACAGGTCAGAGTTGGTGTAAAAACCGGCGGTGAAGTTGGCGCTTCTGTGGACTTCTCGTGGAGTAGGAGTCAGCTGCTGCGCAGGAGTCGGTGGAGTGTCGCCGTTGACCGGGGCTGGTGTCATTGAAGGACCCGCGATTGGTGTCGTGATCAGTGTTGTCTCTGCTGCTGCCGATGTTGTCTCTGCTGCTGCCGATGTTGTCTCTGCTGCTGCCGATATTGTCTCTGCTGCTGCTTGTTGAATTGTTGCTAATGCTCGTGTTCGTTCTGCCTCAGGTACCGTGCTCGAGTACCAAAAACCGCCAGGGCTGAAGCCGGGATCGAGATCAGGTGGGTGTGTCCAGGAAGTGAAGTTGACGATGGCGTCGCTGTCGGCGGTGCCGAGGTCTGGAACGAAGTCGAGGACGAAGACGTTGTTCTTCAACACCGCTTTCCCGATGTAAAGTCCGCCTTTCCCGTGATACAACTTAAACTCCTGGGTGGTGCTGTCTGCTTCGAGGTGAATGCCTTTCGCCATCAACTGACTGACACTCAGTAGGTTGTAGCCGAGTCCCTCCGCTATTAAAACTTTTAACATTTGCAGTATGACGTTGGTCTCTCGTGACTGAAGTTGAACTACGCCCTGTCGTTGTGTGCGCAGGTTCTGATTGTTGGCGACGGTGATGACGACTTCGCCCTGAAGTTGATGTTCGCGTTGAACGAAGCGACCCGAGGAACACATATGCTGTCCGCAGCAGCTGTCCAAGAACCAAGTGTCTTTCCCGGACGGCTCGCTCTGGGCGATGGCTGCGTATGTCGGGTTCGGCTCCAGTGTCTCGCGGCGAGGAGTGCTTTCGTCAAGTTGTTCTTCTGGTGAGTAGTTCGGTGGTGACTCAGTGATGCAGGAGTGTGACAGTCTCGCCATGCAGCTCACGATGTTTCTTGTCCCTTGTGCAGGTTGCGTTGTTGACGATGTCGAAGGCTGAGGAGTGGGATGCGCTTGTGTTGAGGCGACTTGGCTGCTTGAGGGTCGAAGTTGTCGTTGCGATGGTGTTGACTGCTGTTGACTTGGG